TAGCACCGTTTACTGCTGCTTATTCTGTGTGTGTGTGTGTGTGTGTGTGTGTGTGTGTGTGTGTGTGTGTGTGTGTGTGTGTGTGTGTGTGTGTGTGTATGTGTGTATGTGTGTGTGGTCTGAATTCAGTGACGTCTAAGCCAGAGGGGGATAAGTGATGTTCAGCAGTTTGTCTTTGTGCGTGTTGTTGTGAATATGCGGTTTAAAAATACAACCTCTCCTTGAAGATCACACATGTGGACGTGGTTAGGAGAAAGCTGTCCGGGGTCAAGAGGAAGCAAGTGTGTGTGTCTTCTGTACGGGACAGACAGATAACGTGGTGATAGGGCTCTTCACTTTCATTATACGTTTATATTATCTTATTAACCATAAGTACCAGTTCACTGCGGCGTGTGGAGCAGTGGATAGACCCTTGATGTTCGGATCAGGGGGTCACAGGTTCAAACCCCACTGCAGTCAGCATGTCATTGTGTCCCTGGGCAAGACACTTCACCCCAAATTGCTCCTGTGGGGATTGCCCACAGTATTGAGTATGTAAGTCGCTTTGGATAAAAGCGTCTAACAAGTGACATGTAATGTAATGTATGGTCGAGCATTTTACTGCTTTAAAGGAGGATTTTCGTTTATTACAAATTTCATCCAATTTCTGTAGGTCAGCATGATAATTTTGCCGTCCTGTTTTTACTTTCCTGTAGTGTTTAAAATTGTTTTCTGCATGTCAATGATATGTAAAGGCTAAAATCCCAAAGTTCACACCAGTTTTACTAACGTAACCTAGTGACATCACTATGTAACACTCACGCTTCTATTGGCTAGTGCTCCAAAACATTGTACGTGATAAGCTAAGGGACGGAACATCTCTAAGCAGAGCCGGCCAACTAACCAATCAGAGCAGACTGGGCTCTGGTTTCAGACAGAGGGTGAAAAGAGGTGCTGCAGCACAGAAAATAAAGATCTTTTGAACATTTGAGCATGTAAACATGTCACGGTACGGTAGAGTCACTAAATACAAAAATGCACCTGAAAATGTGCATAACTGTCCTCTTTAAACTTCGTCGAAGGGTGTTGAATGGGCAGAGGTTCCAACATAGAGTGGATCTTAATACTGGGAGTAATTCTTATTTTTTTTCCTCACTTATGGAATAGGCTTCGGTACTTTCTTCATAGGTTAAGATAACATTTGATATTTGAGAATTACTGAGATCTGGGACTGAGTGACATCTCTAAATTAAAGTCCTACGGGCAAATTAAGACTTATTAAAGTAACTGTAACACTCTTTTTTTTTCTCCTCTTCCTCTCAACACCTACACTAATAACTGTTCTGCCGCACATCCTTTTTGCTCCTTCTCTCTCTCTCTCGCTGACACTCTCTCCATCACCCTCCCCCTTTCCAGTCTCTGTGTCACTTTTACCTGCTTGATAATGCTTGACATGAATTCCGGCTTTTTTCCCGACTCAGCATCTCCTCTGATCTGACACATACGCACACAGACATTACACTCTCTTCCCAGCGTGCAGGTCAGAGTGCTCCATGTGTGGAATACAAATTAGCACGGCTATAGATTTACTTTTAGAAGTTGTATTTAAACTGTTTCTTGGTAAAAAAAAACCTGTGGGAACTCTACATTATAATGACTGTGCTCAGCATATGTTTGGTTGCACCTCATGCTGGAGGATGTGATGTCATCCATGCACTCATCACCGCTACTGTTGTCCCTTCCCGCCCTGTTTATGATAACGGTCGCATGACTTTGTGTGTGTCTGGAGATTGATATCCGCCTGAAGCAGAGCAGACACACACTTCACGCTCAAACAGTGTGTGTCTCTCCGTCACACCAGTCTTATTCATCAGACTCTGGGAGGTGCAGTCTTCATCGGGCTGCACACCAAGGGTGAAGATAGGAGAGGGGCGGAGAATAGGGGTTAGTTAGTCTTGAGTAGAAATATTAAATCTGTTTTTTTAGTCACATGCCAAATATAAGAAAAATAAATATATTAATATAAACAGCCTGCTTTCATCACTGATATAACATCTGCATTAGCGTAAATCAAATAAAACACAAAACAAAATAAATACAAAAAAATAGATAAACAGACAAAGTAGAGCACACTACTGAATGTGTCTCCATATTTTATACAAAATAAATATACATATAAACAGCCTCCTATCATCACTAAAATAAACGTCCACATTAGCCTTAATCAAAACATTTCTTTTTTGAAAATGCCTTAATAAGCAAAGATTTTAATGATTTTGTACTTGTTTACATACACTTTTTGTTAGTTTTGTATTGTTTTGCTCTGTCTTGAAACCTTCACAAAATATGCAATTCCTGTGTGTTATCTTTCTATCCTTTTTCTTTTTGGTTATTTATTCTTAAAAGGAAAGGTGTCTTCGTAAGCCATTTTTTGATTTTAACCTCTTTTGCACAATGTTCTAAAGCCTAATATAATCATTTTCTCAAAATCGTACTGACTCTTTATTTAAAACACGTGTTTATGTGCCAATGAACTAGACTGTACTAACAACCCTAGATGTTTACCCCCTAGCATCGCCTCAGCAGATTTTTAATTAAAGACCGTTAGCTACGCCTTCCGTGTTCTAAAAGTGGTGTTTGGCTGATGCTCCTGTGAGATTCCTCAGTGGTTAAACACTAATCCAGGTGGTGCTGGGATGAAATGCGTCTGGCCGGGTTACATAGGCCCTGAAACTCTACTCCTGTGTTACCGCATGTCACCAGGGAGATTGGAAACAGATAGGAGGAGATCGACATGACTAGTTGGCTCACAGCATGACGGAGGAGGGAGAGACAGACAGAGGCGGGGAGATAGAGAGAGATACAGACGAGGGGTCATTCATTGCTAGCAGGCAGTGTGAGGTAGACACCAGATATAGATGCCAAAGTGTCAATCACTTTGCATAGGGTGCTGGGATGTGACCTCGCCCTTATATCCCCCTCGAGTGTATGTGCGTCAGTTTGTGTGCATGCATATTGATACAAGTTGAGATTGTTTCACCTTGAATTAGTTTGGAAGGTGGTGTCTGATAAAGTGTTTATGCTGTGCGTGAGTGCATGTGTGACCTATTAGAGTAGGTTTACAGAAGCCGATCTATTTATAGTCTGGAGATATGTTGTGTTCTGCTGAGTAGTTTGACTTGGCTATGTCACCCCACTCAGCACAGCGGCAATAAATAAAGAACGTCATAGCACAACTTCTTCTTCCCGTTTCTTTCAATTAGGAAGTTTCCTTGAGGAACCTGATTGAAACAATAATATAGACAGCTTGATTGTGAGTTTGTTTTTCTCCCTCACAAACAGGAAATTATCTAAGGGGTTGCTCACCGGCCAAATTCTTCCCAGCAAGCAGCCGACATGCACAGATGCTGTTTTTATTAGCGTAACCTGGTCCGTGGTGGCCATCTTATTACCCAAAATATTTGTTGAAATCAATCTGTCCGGGTCCAAATGTACAGGGTTATCACAGTTCTGTGCAGAATAACTCCTTGGGTAAAGTAGTTCTTGGAGAATAAAAGTCTACTTAACAAATCAAGCCATAAAGCACTGATTTTGTTTGTTCCCTCCCCCAAACACATCTAGTGGAAGTACATTTACTTAAGTACTTCATTCTGAAATTTGAGGTACTTGTAATTATGTATTTCCACTCTTTGCCACTTTCTTCTGTCAATCACTAGGCAACATATTTTACTTACTAGTACGTTTAATTAGCCATTCATTACTGCAGACAACAATATTTTCTACAATTAGAATGTAACATATAATAACAAATGAATGACTCCCTTTATTGTTTTTTTGGCGGTTGTTAAATGAGAATTACTGGCAACCTTGGTTGTTCAGCTTCTTCTTGCAGATGTTGGCTCATACACTGCCTTTATGCTGAAAGTGCTCGGACTTAACAAAGATGGTACTCAGTGTATTCCCCATGATGGTTTAACTTAAGTTGTGCAGATGTTAAATAATAAAGATGTTCAGTGTGTAGAAAGTCTGGACAGTCCATCAAACAGGGAAGGCAGCATGGCGCACAATACATACCATGGTCGTAATACAGTGGAGTTGTGTGTGTTATGCTGTCGGGTGTCACAGATACATATGAGTTACCCCATCTATGTCAGGGCATCTGCGGGAAACAGTTAGGGGCATTGTTTTCAACACAACACAGACTTATGACTGCTGACAAGTGGATCCGCTCTGTGACAGTGACTGTGGCATCTGGAGAGCTGCTTTCGGTGTGTGTGTGTGTGTGTGTGTGTGTGTGTGTGTGTGTGTGGTGTGTGTGTGTGTGTGTGTGTGTGTGTGTGTGTGTGTGTGTGTGTGTGTGTGTGTGTGTGTGTGTGTGTGTGTGTCAGTCAGAATGGGTCAGAATGGAGTCTTTGTATGTCGTGATGCTCAGTTGAACTTTGACACCATGTCTACATCGACACGTTGACACACGCTTCTTTGTTTCTCATATCCTGTCTCTGCAAACAAAACTCCTATCAGCATTTGATCAGTTTACCAACCCTTTCCCCCAGTGAAGAAGCACACTTGATAAACAAACGTGTAAACAAAAGTTGATCCCGATGGTACTCGCCACTTAAATCTGCTGCTGTGAGGGAAGGTATTTAGGTTGTGTATTGTTATTGGAGGGTTATCTGTTCAATCTTTGTCTCTTGTTGCATAAAATATAATCTTTCTGTCTACAGTTCTTCACCTTTCCTACTATAACTCCCTTTAAAAGACATATTCTCACTGTCTTTGTCCTGTCAGTTTCTTTTATCAAATTTGGAAAAACTAATCAATGACCTTAGTCCAATGTGTAAACATGTGCATTAACCAATGGAAAGATCATTTACTTAAAGCTTTGAGTACTTTCCGTATCTTACAAACACAGGATATAGAGTATTAAAGACACAAAAAATAAAAATGTCTACATCAACTTGACTTTTGTGGTTTCTATATATGCTGATAATAACACTTTATATATCTCTCTCTCCATCCAGCGTCTGAGCCATGCGGTGGCTATTTAGATGCCAGCGATGCAGGCTACATCACCACCCCCGGCTACCCTCTGGAGTACCCCCCTCACCAGAACTGCCGCTGGGTCATCACAGCCCCCGAGCCTTCGCAACGCATCGTCCTCAACTTCAACCCGCACTTTGAGATAGAGAAACTGGACTGCAGGTAAAGTCGAGAGTGGATGGATGGATGAATGGATGGAGAAATGTTTGGATAAATGGATGGATGGATGGATGGATGGATGGATGGATGGACGGATTGACGGACGGCTGGCTGGACGGCTGGCTGGACGGCTGGCTGGACGGCTGGCTGGACGGCTGGCTGGACGGCTGGCTGGACGGCTGGCTGGACGGCTGGCTGGCTTTTAAAGTCATAGATTGGGTTGCGAACTAAGGAATTTAGAGATTTAAAAATAATAACTGGGAAACATTTAATTGATTATAGTTCAGCTAATAAAGGATAAGAAGTGAGGGGAGTTTTGACTACAGTATTGTGAAAAAACGTTCTGTCTCTTCAGAGTGTTTGTCTCCACCAGCCTGTCTCTGTGTGAGAGTTGGCGTATTTGGTGTTTTCGGTGAACTTCAGCCCACTCTCCTCCTGTTTTTCTGGCTTGGCATATCCCATAATAATCACTTTGGGACCTCCCTCTGGTCCCCTGTCTCTTAATTATCAAAGTCTAATTACAACACATTGATTGTTACAGCATGATTTTCACATTTTGGAAGAATTAACACAGAGATCAGAGGATTGGGTGTCGATCATTGTTTTTGGCAGTTTGGCTTTGGTTGCATGGTGGAGCGGAAAGCAAGGCAAAGCGTTCTGCAGCTTGAAATAAAAATACAGCACTGATCATAAAAACACAGGCATGATGGGAAATGATGGGAACCTGCTGGCAGAGAGATTTGAGACTTTTTTTATAGATTCAAATGTGCTTTATAAAATTGGATATGAAATGGTCTTAATAAAGTCTAACTGGGATTTTTTGGGCAGAATTTGCAACCGAGTCTGATCCAGCACAAGCCCTGTGAAACTATTAAAATTAACACCTAATAAAAGTTGCTGGACATTTTTCGGCAGGCTGTCAAAAAAGTGATCCCCATTCCATAGATGGCAACAGCTGCAGCTCATAAAATGGAAATTATACCTTACAACATGATTGAAGTCCAATATTAAAGTGATAACATGTTTTGGAAAGACAGGGAAGCTACTAGTAACTGAAAGTAACACAGACACACACACACACACACACACACACACACACACACACACACACACACACACACACACACACACACACACACACACACACACACACACACACACACACATATTGTATTGTTTTTTATTCAACAACTTGAAGTTTTCTATCTTACTTTAAACTTTTAGCCTTCCCTTATCACTGTGGGACCGTCATTGCATGTACAATTTCATCATACACATAGTAGAGAGTGGCTCTCTGGAATCTAAAAGACCACAGACACTAACCCACTGACACAGGCAAAAGGGCAGAAACACGCACACTTACACTTTTCCCCTATCTCCCGTTATTTCTCTGTTCCGGTGCTTTCCTGTCCAGTTATTAACATTTCAGCTGTATCAATTATAGATGGGCGAATTTCCCCACTCAGATGTACCGAAATCATTCAGACATTTCTTTGTTGGAATTGAAGCATCAATATTTCACCGGCTGGCTGTTTGTTGAAAGGCTGCTCTGTTTCGCTTTACTCTCGCGCTGTGCTGTGGAAATAAAAAGCACACTCCTCTGTCTCCCTGTCCTCGTCATCTTTCCGTTTTACTCTGCAGTTCTAACCCTGGGATCAGTTTTATTAGATGCTTTCTCTCTCTTTCTGTCTGCCCCTCTATTTCCTTCTCCCCCTCCCCATCCCCTACTCCCCTTGGCCTTCTTTCCTCTTTCTCTTTGAATAGCTTACATCCATTTAAAGTCCAGTATTTTCCCTGGAGGAGAGAATCTGGTCTGTTTAGAAACAACAGCCTCTGATTTATTTATTAGCCTATGCACATCAAAAAGTGTGTATTTGTGGATGTTCTATATCGTACGACTTTGGGTACATGTCTTAATATATTCCTAGTTTCACTTCCAGTAACGACATTTACATTCATTGTTAAACCATGCCAGTAAGAGTGTGGTATGTGCAGAGGTGGAGGCAATATCCCAAGCCTAATGGGCTAGTTATTTACAAGTGTCCTAAAGCACAGTGCTATTTAAGTCTGCAGGCGAATGTGTGCGTGCGTGCGTGTGTGTGCGTGCGTGCGTGCGTGTGTGTGTGTGTGTGTGTGTGCAGGGGTAGGCTGAAATTGAGCTGTTGGGTTCAGAGGGCAAAGAGGCCAAGGGGAAGAAGCAAAGGGTGCGTGTGTGTGTCTGCGGGGGGCAGACGTACGTGGTCCCCGAGTGATTGTCAGCAACAACCCTGACACACACACACACACACACACGGACACACGCACACAAACACAAACACACACACACACACAAACCAGTGTGCGATGTCAAATGGCGTCTCATTTGCCCACTTATTCTCTTTTTATCTCACAAATATTATTACCTCTTAGTCGTTTAGTCAACCAATTGGTAGCTTCGGTCTATGTCGACTAAGACTTATTTAGTAAATTCGTAATTCTTTATGCTTGGTCATGCTCATTGACTTATTTCCAAAATGCTTTCTGAGCATCTAGTAAACACAAGATTTGAAGTGGTTCGTTGTCTTTCTGTGTCTATTATCCCTGTTTATTATCTGATGAGTATTTAGTTAATCAAGGACAACCCTTTTATATGTAATATGTATTCTCAAATCATGAGATTAAGATGTATATGTTTACTACAGCTCTGATAAACAGAAAACTGCATCTATCCTCACTTCATGTAGAGGAGAATAAACACAAACACACACTGTTTGAGACAAAGGAGTCGTCTGTGTCTGTAGACAAAGGCTACATTATAAGCATTCAATATGGTTCCTCTGTCTATTTGTTTATCACATAAAAAAACTCATGATACAGTTGCATCTGTCCCTCATAAAAACATCCATCAACATACACTCACACACTGCATGCTTTGGACGGACAAGGGTTGTTTTATTATGTCAGTGCCTTGAAGCAATCTAATCTCTTATTGTCCTGATTGCAATTTAAAATGGTAATCTGTAATCCATAACGCATCACATTATGTCGAGCCCTCTGCTGTCTGTGCAGGAGAGATCGATGTAGAGGTGGTCGGACAGAGAGAGATGATTTCATTAAGATTCATATTCTGTAGTGCCACGAGACATCCGGAGGGGGGTGAGAGGGATGAAAAGAAAACTTGTGCCCCCTGCTAACATCAGTTTAGCCGTGGCCAATCATGACTCACCATGACTTCCCATTTCCCTTCACATGACAGGCACCATGGTACCACATTAGTCTGTCACTGGTGGCAGGTTTCAGTTATCACCCAACAGCTGCAGCTGAAGCGTTTAAAGACGTGTAGATCCAGGCCACGTGATGGACTGATACACAGGCAGGACAGAGGAGACTGTGTGGGGATGCAGCTCACGAGTACAAACTTACAGCTGCAGTTACAGTTGATAAAAGCTCCAAGAAGGCAACATAAATGTGAAGAACTTTATGTTTGGTGTAACTTATGTTAATTAAACACCTACCATGTAGTGTCATTTTTCTGGCAGAAATACGTTACCGTGGACATATAAGATTCAGGATAGACAAACAAGGCCAAATATAAGCTTCTTCTGAATTTTCTACAGTGACATCACCAGGATATATTTGAAAAGTTGTGATATATTCAACTTGCCAAATGCAATGGCAACTGCCTACTTGTCATTGGGATCCATTGACAAAAGAGAAGTGCGCTCAGAAAAATGTGGACACAGGACTTTAGCCTAGAACCTTTGTTAGTTCTGAAAATAGAGAGATTAGTGTACACACTGTAAATTCTTAAACAACTCCTTTCTGCAGTTATTTCCACCCATTTCATTTCATTTCAAATCTTTATTTATCCAGGTGTATCCCATTGAGATCATTGATCTCTTTTTCAAGGGAGACCTGCTCAAGTTCCACATGAAACATAAAAACATAAACAGAACAACAAAAAGGACATCATACAGCATCATTACAGGATTTACAATTTACATAACTATCCACATAAACAGGTACCAACAGCTTCCGATTGAGTAGCATCCAATCGAGCTTTAAAAACATTTAGTGGCACCAGATTGCTCAGTTTCCATTTAATTTGCAGACTATTCCAAGACAGAGGAGCTGCGCATCTAAAAGCTGTCTTCCCTAAGACAGTCCTAGCAGTTGGCACATTTAATAAAACCACAGCATGCGATCTCAGGCAGTAGCCACTTACAATTTTCCGTGAGATCAGGGAGCAGATGTTGGATGGAAGTTTCCCTATATGGCTTTGTATAAAAATGTACCAGTGACTGAGCCTCCGTACAGTTAGTGAAAGCAAACCAGCCCTTGCATACAGGGTACAGCAGTGTGAGAAAAAGTTTTTAGAGAGTACTTGTCCATGGACAAGTGAGTTTGGCAATTTACTTGTCCGAATACATTTTTCACTTGTCCAGAATGGACAAAAATTGGGGCCACTGGAATCTTCTTCTTCATCATCGTATTTTACATTTTCCCACGGTTTTTACGACACCGCTAACGTAAGTGAGCGGTAAGATTTTACTGCATCACACATAGGGTTGGGTACATAGACATATACGTCTATGGTTGGGTATCGTTTGGATTTTAACGATTCTGGTTCTGCTTTTCGATTCCGGTTATTTTCGGTTCTCAATTCCGGTTCTTTGAGAGGATAAAAATAAGTCAAACTGGGAGAAAAATATATTTATGAAAAGATTAAGTCAAATCTGTATTCCTATTTACAAATCACTTCATACTGTTGAATTTCTTACGGTTATTGAATACAATTATATAAAAATAATCTCTGCATTGTTTAGTTAGTTCTAAGTGGTGCAGTTTGAGAATGTACAATTGGCCCAGTCTCCTCTGATGTTACACTGCAACCTGCCTGTGAGACAAAGTCCAACCACACATGTCCAACACATAGGACATAACCTAATAATAATAATAATGACACATTAGATGTATAGCTTATAGGCCTAGCGCTTTTCTACAACTCAAATACGCTTACACAT